CCCGGCCCCGACTCTCTCCCCATGAGCAGCTGGTGGTCCAGAGGCTGGGCTTCGACACCCGTGTGACTGTGCTGGGCCACGTGCAGAGGGGAGGGACCCCTTCGGCGTTTGACCGCATCCTGGTAGGTGGGGCGCTGCTCTGTCCCGGGCGTGCACGAGTGGGTGAGCGCGGCGGGCATTTCCTCGCTGCCGCTGGTCTCACAGATGAAATGGAGACAGGGCCCCTCCATTTCTGTGTGGGTGGGAAACGCAGGGCTGGGGACCTGTGTCCCCGCCCCTCACCTCAGCAACCTCGGCTCCTGGGCCTCCCGGTGATGGCTTTTGGCCCCCGGAAAAGGGGGCGGTGCGTGGAGGGCAGGACCCCGGCTCCGCCCCTCTAGGGTCTGAAGTCTGGTGGTTCTGAGTGTGGCCCACAGTGCCAGCACGACAGCTCTTATGACCTGGGGGAGGCCCTGGGGAGACAGAGACCTGGCCTGTGGCCTGAGTGCCGTCACTGATCAGCCCAGCTGATCACTGCTGGGTCCCACCTCGTCCTCTGCAAAGTGGGAATCCTGTGCCACCAGTTGGAGACAGGGTCTGGGGCCCGGAAAGTCCCCACGGGTGGTAAAGTGTCCACACACGAGGGCTGGTTACCCTGCGCCTGGGGCCTGCACCTGCCTCCCCCAGGAGACCCCGTGTGCTGTCCCCCTAGTCCCACACAGAGAAGCAGGGACGCTGACCCCGGACAGGGGCCTTGCCCGCCTGGCTGGGCACTTTTTGCAGCCTGCACGAGGCTTCAGCACTTGGGAGAGCCTCCTGAGGACCCCAGGACGGCGGGACGGAGCACTGTCCTCCTTGCAAACCTGGGGGGCAGAGATGTGAGGGGATGGGTCTAGGTGTCCCCTGCTTATGAGAACAGAGTGGCCTGCCAGTTTCGTAGAAGCTGGTGGAAGACACAAGGCGCCCGTGTCAGAGACAGAGGAGAGCAGGTCCTGAATGTCTTGGCCAGCCCAGCCCACCGGCCCTCCTTCTCACGCATGCTGAGGTGTGGGGTGGGGACACAGGAGCCGTGACCTGGAGCCCAAGCCAGCAGCCTTGTCTGGAAGCCCATCCCGCCTCCCACCCGTCGCCGTCAGGCTGAGCGACTGTGGTGTCCTAGCGGGGCTGTCCGAGACCCCGGAGGGGCTGTTGTGAACGGTGGTCACATGAAGTCATTTCTGGGATCACCTGCTCCAGAAGCTTGGACCGGCCTGTGTGTGCGTGCACGTGGCTCGGGGGTGGGCCGCCCCTCCCTGAGCCCCGCCCGCCCCTCTCCCTGCTCAGAGCAGCAAGATGGGCATGGAGGCGGTGATGGCACTTCTGGAGGCCACTCCCGACACGCAGGCCTGCGTGGTCAGCCTGTCGGGGAACCAGTCCGTGCGGCTGCCCCTCATGGAGTGTGTGCAGGTGGTGAGTGCCCAGCCCCGCCTCAGGCCGGCCCGGGTGGGGGCGCTCCCTGCAGAGATGCCTCGGGGGGGGGGGGCTTTGCCCCCCTGCTCTGCTCACCCGCCCCCTTCCCGGCTGGCCGGGACCACCCGTCCCTCCAGGTCCTGTCAGGGCACAGGCCCCGTCCCCACCTCATGTCCCCACCCTGTCCCGCTGCTCCCCTGTCACATGCCACCTCCTGTCGCATTTTGGGGTATCGGGGGCCTACGGCCCTCCAGGGAGGGGAGGGAGGCATGAGCGTGTCCTCAAGGTGGGCCCCACGAGAGGTGTGGGGGCGGCCCGAGCTCACTGAGCTCCTGGAGTCAGGCGGCGGCCGTGAGTGTGCCCCGGGCCTCCTCCAGCCTGTACCTCTCTTTTGGTGAAGACAAAGGAGGTACAGAAGGCCATGGATGAGAAGAGGTTCGACGAGGCCATCCAGCTCCGTGGCAGGTGAGGGGCTCCCGGGGCCCGGCGCCGAGTGCAGTCTGTTCCACAGGCCCTCGGCAGACGCCCACGTGGCTGTGCCCCTGGCCCTCAGGGCGCACGCCCTGGCAGAGACCCTTCCTTCCAAGTGTGTGTGGCCAAGCGTAGAAGTGGGGCAGCAGGACGGAGGCTCAAGGTCCCTGTGACGGGGGAAGCAGGCGGGCTGCGAGGTGGACAGGAGCTGCCACGCAGGGTGGAGGGGAGAGGGGCGGCTGGGGCGGGAACCCGGAGGGGCGTCCACAGAAGGAAACGGTGGGGGTCAACCTGCAGCGGCCGGGAGGGCTGGACCCCCAGCACCCCCTCCCCACCCCCCTGCACAGGCCGGATGCGGGGCTGTCGCTTTGCTAAGAGGGGCGTGGGGGCCGTGCTCTTCGGGGCTTTTCGTAGCCACCAGAGTGGGGTGGTGAGCCACGCCGGCGTCCAGCTTCTTCGTGGCCGCGTGGTGGGGCCACGGGCTGTGCTGAGCTGTGTGGCTGTGGGCTGTGGGCTGCATGAGGCATGACCGGCTTCCCTTCCAGGAGCTTTGAGAACAACTGGAACATTTACAAGCTGCTCGCACACCAGAAGGTCTCCACAGAGAAGGTGAGGGGGGGTGAGCCGCAGGGCCCTCGTCACTGTCACCTCTGGAGCCTGCCCCTGGGTCCGCCCGCCCGCGGAGCCGGGGTCTGCCCCGGGAGCAGGAAGCTCTGAGCTGGCCCTGTGGACCCTCCCTCCTGTCTGGGTCAGAGCCATGAGCTGAGAGGCTTGGCCTCTGCCTGACCAGCGGGTCCCAGACAGCCGGCGTCTGGGCCTGGAGGTGACCTTGGCCGGTCACGTATCAAACAGCTGGAGGAAATTAAGTCAGGCCTATAGGCTTAGGTCAGGACAGAGGGGAGCTAGTGCTTATGAAATGTTATAAAACAGCCCAAAACCTCATGAAATGGGCTTTCTTCAAAATAAGAATGATAACGGGACTTGTTTCTGAAACCCGGGGACGAGGAAAGGGTCCGCTGGGACCGTCCCAGCCAGCGGGGCCCTGGCCCCCATCTGTCCCAGGGACTGGTCAGGGACAGGCCGTACCCCCAGTAGAGCAGAGCTGTCTCCATGTCCCCTCCTGGAACCGCTGGCGTGACCACATCTGGGGCCACAGGGCTGTGTGACCAGGACCCACCAGAGCCACATGTGACCACGGAGTGCTGGCCACGAGGCTGCCTGTAGCAAGGTGGGCTGTATGTGCCACACGCACCGGGTTCTGGGGACACGGTCTGGAAAACCGTGGAATAGTCCGTTGGTAATTTCTTAGGCTGATTCTAGGTCGGGGTGATGTTTTGGTTACCTCCCGCGACTCCGGTACTAAAATAGTATCACCCGCTTCTTTGCACTTGATGAATGTGGCCCCCTCCGCTATGCATCCGTGCCGCTCGCCAAGATCTTGGGGCGCTGGCTGCTCTGAGCCCAGGGTGTGGGGTGGTTGCTGGAGGCTTCGGGACAGGCGCTGGCTCTGGCCTGAACCTGCGCGCTGCCCCCCACGAGCTGCACTTGGCCGAGAGCGACCAGAGGACTTGAGCTGATGAGCGGGGCGGGCCTGCGCTGTGGCTCATTTGGGTCTCTGCCAGGAACTTGTGGGACAGATGTGTGCCCTTCCCAGCGGAGTCCACTCGCTGGACGGTGTGCAGGCGGGCAGGGGAGCCTGGGCCCTTTTCCGGGGGCCACCCCCTCGATGACTTGTGTCTGGGCCGGCTGGCTCCCCCCCAGCCCCGTGCTCACGCTGCCGTCTCCTTCCTCTTGTCTGAAGACCAACTTCTCCCTGGCCATCCTGAACGTGGGCGCCCCGGCGGCCGGCATGAATGCGGCTGTGCGCTCGGCGGTGCGGTCTGGCATCTCCCAGGGCCACACGGTGTATGTCGTGCACGATGGCTTTGAAGGCCTGGCCAAGGGTCAGGTAGGTGCGGCTGTGACGGCAACCACACAATGGTTCCGCGCGTGTGCTGGTGTGTTTATAACCCACCCCAGCTTGTAACAAGGACCGGGGGGCTCACGGTAGAAGTCTCAGGCAATGCCCCGGGGCAGGTCCCTGAAGAAAGCGGATGAGAGGCCCTCGGGAGAGGGGCCTAGGGCTCTGCTCTGACCTGCAGTGATGGTCAGCGCCTGGCCCGGCCCCCTACAGCTGCACCTCCCCACCGCAGGTACAGGAAGTGAGTTGGCACGATGTGGCCGGCTGGCTGGGCCGTGGCGGCTCCATGCTGGGGACCAAGAGGTGAGCTGCTGGCTGACGGGCCCGGCTCCCTGGCCACCGTGGGCAGCGGGGGGCGGGGGATCCAGAGGCAGGCTCAGGAGGAGTGGACGTTGCCGGGGGAAACCAGCCCCGTGGCCTGGACTAGGTCCTCGCTTCTGGCTGGCGGCCGGCCCGCGGTGGGCTGCACCCCCTCCTGAGACCACCTGTGCACAGGAGACTGGCCCAGGTGGCCCCCCGCCCGCAGAAAGCATCTTGTCAGGCAGCTGGCGGGCAGCTCCCCCTCCCCTGTCCCACCGTGGGCCCCACTGACGCCCGGGCGCTGAACGAGAATCACAGCAGCACATCTAGGGCTGGCTCCCCCCACCGCCACCCGCGCGTCTCGATCAGGTGCGGTGTGGGAGCGTGTCCTTCTGTCCAGGCGCTCTGGGCCACGTTTATCTGACTTCTGTCCACTGCAGGACGCTGCCCAAGAGCTACATGCAGAAGGTAGTGGAAAACATCCGTACCTACAACATCCAGGCCCTGCTGGTCATCGGCGGCTTTGAGGTGCGGGCCACTGCAGGGAACGAGGTTGGGGCAAGGACCCTGGAGAATGTCTTCTCTGCCTGGGGCCGCTGGGGTGGCCCTTCTGGAAACCCCATGCTCCTGGCTGGGGAGTCACACGAGTCAGCCGACTGATGGGGCCATGGGGCTCCCTGTGGTGTTCGGCTCTGGGAAGGTTTTTACCTTCTCCTATAGGCTTCACAGAGTTTAAATCGGTGCTGGCTCCCGGGTGCTGGAGAGGGGGAGGG